TATATACAAATTAGTTAAGAATAATCCTTCTAAATAATCTTCCATCAAAAAGTCATTTTTGATGTTTATCGTCTCTAATTGACTAGCCATGATCTACGGGCGTTACAGATACCCTTAATTAGCCCGTTAGAAGCTTCAAACCACCCGTTTGTTTGTGGGTGATAAGCAGTCGAAACTCGATGAGTAACACCATATTTCTTCAAAACAACCTCGAGGGTGTGGTTGAAGAAATGCATGCCCCGGTCACTGACGATGGCTTTTGGTGTCTAAAACCTAGCAAAAATGACGGCTTTAACAAAATCAACCACGACCTTTAAGTCATCTTTTCGAGTAGCTTTCACCTCAACCTATTTTGACACATAATCCACTACTATCATGATGTACACAAACCCAAACTATGGTGGAAATGGACCCATGAAGTCTATGCCCCCAAACATGAAAAATTTCACATACTAGAATTGGAGTGAGTGGAATCTAATTCTAAGATGTTAAAGTCCTAGTCATCTGGCACTAGTCATAGGTTTTGCAAGACAGGAACAAATTGAGAAAAATATGGGCCCAATAAAGACCGTTGTCCAAAACTTTGTGTGCGGTTCGTTATGGACCATAATGCCCTCCATAAGCTTCTGAATGACAGAAATTTAAAATTGATTTAACTTCAACTTATGGCACACATCTTCTAATAACTTGATCAGTGTAGTGTTTCCATAAATACGGCTCGTCCCATATATATCTTTTTTCCTCCTTCTTTATTTTATCTTTTTAAGCTTGGGTGAGATCCGAAGGGAGTTCTCTAGAGACTAAGTAGTTCACTGTATCAGAAAACTATAGAGGATTCTGAACAGTGAACAGATGCTTATCAGGAAAGGTTTCACGGATTGGTGTCGAGTCTTCAGGTGGGATGAGTCGGCTCGGATGATGTGACATCCCCAATTTCACGGCCAGAAAAGAAAGATTTTTTTATGCTTTGTTTTTAAAACCGGAGTAATCTTTTAAAGAAAACAATTGTGGAATTTGTTCACAAAATAAAATATGATAAGAATTTATCAAAGCATTTCTTTAAAGAAATGTATTTTCGTTATATAACAAAATCTCGGGATGTCATGTTCAATACAAACCAAAAGCATAAGCAAAACAAAAATAGACCTTAGAACAGTTATTCATAACTACTGGCCTATAATCCAAAATCTCTCATTATGTCAGCCAACTTATGCTCTCGTACCATAACTTATAATACAAAGAAAACTGAAAGGGTCATGCTTGGGAACCTGGTGAGCATATAGGGTTTTCAACCCACAATAATATAATTATTATATTCAATTATCAAATAATCATTCCAATTACCCACCCCCATTATCTCCATTTATTTCTTAAAGATTTATCCTAAGAACCGATTACCGTTCTCCCATTCATTCCTAAGGATTACCGTAAGGAATTGACACAAAGTCTAGTGCTGCCAAGGTTCTTAGATTACCTCTGGTAAACACGCAGTTCACAATAATTAATGAACACCTAGTTCAATAACACCTAATGAACACTTAGTTCAAATATCTAATGAACACTTAGTTTGAATATCCCTGGTGAACCCAATCACCTAAGGAACACAGAGTACGAAAGCTCTTAGTTCAAGCAATGTGATAATAAAGTATATCTCGATCCTGCAAAACCACTAATATTCTAAACACATATAAATCATATTTCTAAAACAATATATCTCATCCCTCCAATCCCAACATACTGACCCTATACAATGATCTTACGAGATCTAGCCTAAGGAATCGATATGAACCACAAACTCATGAAGCTGCTTCGGAAATTCCCTAGCAGCAAACGAGGATCAATAAAGACATCAAATGAGGGGAATGAAATAAGTTTCACCACGAACCTTTTTTCGTAAAAGAAAGAACCACAAGACATTTTTAGTTAGGGGTAGTTATCTAGATAACAATGCCTAGGCGTGGTCCGACTATCCTGAGGCATTATACCCCCAGACTCTACTTATCCCAACATCGAACTTTTCCTAGCAGTGGCTTGAATATCATGAGGTATTTCACCCCCAGATGCACCCTATCCAACAATATAATACCATACATACCTAGCAGTGGTCTATTACCGATACACTTTATTAGGCAGTCTACGAAGTTCCCTTAATTACTTCATGAAAGAAAACGCTGACATATGAAGCTCGGTCGATCACTTCATAAAAGAAATGCTGACTCCAAAGCTCTCTCAAAATAAAAGAATGGGGAAATACTACTAGAGTACTTTCGTACACTCCCGTAACTGACACACCAAATTATCAAAAAGACTTTGTACATGATAGTACTTCTGGCATATTATAGTACTCTGGTATGCGAAAGACTTGTACCCGAGAACATAATAGTACCTTGGCACAAGCAGCACCCAAGACACAGAGCTTTGAAAAGGACTTCGTACATAAAATGTACTTCTGTACGTAGGACGTACTTCATCGATCGTCAATCTCACAACACATGTACTCTTAATATGAGACGACCCAATGTCCAAACTTAATGGAACTAAACATCCCTATTTAAGTCTTAACCCTTCACTAGGCAAGCCTACAATGCCTATAATCAATTTTCGATACTAACTCCGTTTGGAAACGCTAACTATGAGTAAACTTAACACAAAGTTTTTAAGTAATAATATCATATATACACATCTTAACACATATTGGACCATAACTGGTTCGTACGTTGTATATCATAAATTATATATATAACATACGTTTTGAGCAATAGCAAATAATTCACACACATACATATATTTCATACTTTAATCAATACTCGTATTAAAATCACGTTCCTAAAAAGGACTATACACATGATACCTTATCGAATGAACACATAGTTCAAAAATACATAATCCATACTCTCGGATTTTAAATTTGCCTCATTACCTAATCCATAATCTCGGATCTAAAACTAGCCTCTTGATCTGACCCATACTCCCGGATCTATAACAAGTTTATCTCTTTACCCTTTTATCTCATGATCCAACTCATCTTTTATCACATACCAACAATCTTATCAACTCATGTTCTACCCAGCATATTTGTAGATACAAAATACATATACGGTTTAACTCATTAAAATCTATATAATTCATCCATTCCACAATCATCTCAAATAAACAACAATATATACACACATAGCACGTATTTCATAGCAAATACGTAACATTTATGTATTAGAAGAAAGTGACTATACACTCACATGATAAGATGATGATCAGACAATGCCTCGTCTCTTAAAATAATCTTTTGCGACGAAACATGATGTTTTCCTAAAAAAAACCGGGCTTCACGAGGGCAGAGCTTCGGCTCGGGAATCTTTCTTCTCGGGATCTTCGGGGCTTCTGGACTCGCTTCGGGGCTCGGGATTAATACTGGGGCTTCGGGATATTTCTTGCATGCAAAATAATGCCAAAATGAGAGAGAAAGGAAGAGACTGTAGGTTATGGTGGTTCGCCAGAGTGATATCGACGTCTTCATCATCCTTTATTTTTCCGCTCCTTCAACTCCGTCGAATCAACACCACAACCCACTAAAGATGAAGAGATAGTAGGTTATGGTGGTTCGCCAGAGTTAGAGTACCAAAAAAAGAATGATAGTGAAGACGTCGATGTTACTAAAAATGAAAAAGAAATAGTAGTTGGGGAGGATGAGAGATGAGATGGTGACCGGTAATACCCGAATTAAATTTCTCAAATGTGATTTCAGGTTTACGATGAGAGGAGATACATATATGTGGGATCTATTAATTTTTTTTAATATAAAAAAATAAATACATAAATAAGAAAATTAATTAATAAATAAATTAATAAGGACACAATAGTAGTTTTAGGTAAGACAGGGATCAAATGCGCAACAAAAATAAACAGTATGGACCATCCGAATTAAATTTCTCAAATGTGGTTTAAGGTTTATGGTGAGGAAATACAAATATGTGGGGTTTATTAATTTTTTTAAATATATAAAAAAATAAATACATAAATAAGAAAATTAATTAGAAAATAAATTTATAAGGGCACAATAGTCTTTTTAGGTTAGATAGAAACCAAACGCATAACAAAAATAAACAATGAGACCATCCGAGTTAAAAAAAATAAGTTAAAGATCAAAAACACAAATTCTCCCAAACCATAAGAACCATTCGTGTAATTTATTTTTATTTTTGGTTTTGTTTGTAACTATTTTTTTTTGTACACATTTAGGTAATGAACTTGTTGAAAATGTTCACGTCTAAGATTTAACATTTTATAATGGTCATATGTAAATACGTCTAACAAATTTGTTACCTAAATGTGTAAAAAAAAAAAAATAATAAACCTATATGTGAACACACCGAAAAATTAATTACTTTAATAAATCATTTTAGATTTTTTATTTTAGAATCACCACCGGCCCAAATGTGGTCGCTGGTTTAGATGATGATTGAGAGTGGTGTTGTCCCTAATTTTAGTTAGCACTCAGATAGTGAGGTTTAGTGAGGTGGAGACAACTGGCCTATTATGTGTCATGGTAAGGTGCTAAATGCTAAATATATATACAACAACATAAATAAAACTTTGGGTTTAAATATACAAAAAAACGTTAATAAAACGTTGGGTTTTTTCACATAAAAATGGTTTTGTGGTAAAACGTTAAAAAATGACAATTTTAGTGGTTTGTCCCATAAAATGAAACCACAAGCGCCCTACTTTTAGGTATTGCATATTTGCATTACGAAATACAGATGGAGTAAAAGCGAGTCAACTGGTTCATGCTAAATACAGAAAGAGAAACGCAAATAACGTCGACCCCAAAATCCCAGAAAAATTCGGAAGCACATTCATTAAATCTATACATATAAAGAAACAAACGAAAGAAATATGTAAAAAGAGAAAAAAAATTCAAGAAACAGCAACGGTAATCGGTGGTCGGTTGTGGTTGGCAGGGACAACAAGGGCGCCGAGAACGAAACGAAAACGTAAAAAAGATGTGGAAGAAGGCTTCCGAAGCGTTTAAAGACTTTAGCAGTCTATGCGTAGTGAATCTTGCTCCTCGATCATCGCTTCGGAATCCTGACATTGAAGCTGCGGTGATAAAAGCCACCAGCCATAATGACTCCCACATTGATTATCACAGCGCACAACGCATATTTGCATGGATACGTGTTTCCAGCCATTACGTTCGGCCAGTAATGTCGGCGATTTCCACCAGAATGGAAAAGACCCGAAGCTGGACGGTGGCCTTGAAAGGGCTCATGCTTTTGCATGGCGTCTTCAGTTGCAAAGTCCCTGCCGTTCAAAAGATCGGCCGGTTACCGTTTAATCTCTCGAATTATAGAGATCGGAACCCTAATTGTTCTCACCACGAAGAGTTCATTCGTGCTTATTATGAGTTTCTTGATAAAAAATCATCGTTCTTGTTCAACCATTCGCAGGAACGGAAAGATCAAGGAAGGACCAGAAGGGGAAAGGAAACCAAAGAGAAGCCGAAACAATCTTCCATGATGAAAGACCTTGTTTGGTTGGAAAATCTTCAAGAATTGCTCGATATATTGCTCAAGATCAAACCGCAGAAAGAAAAGATGATGAATGTTTTGGTTCTTGAAGCAATGGATTGCATTATGATCGAGATCTTCGACATTTACATTCGCATTTGTAATGGAATTGCCGGGGTTCTTGTGAGGATATATTCCGCCGCGACATCGGAAGCCGGAAAGGCGTTATCCATTCTGCAAAAAGCAGCAGTTCAAGGCGAGGAATTGTCACGATATGTCCAGTTCTCCAAGGATTTCGGGGTTCTCAAAGCATCGGAATGCCCCAAGATCGTGAATATTCGACCAGAAGATATTCGAGCACTCGAGCAAGTAATAAATAGTGATGCATTCCAACAGAGATCCGAACAGTCGAGTCCAAAAGAAGAGGATAAATCGATGATGTCCGAGGAGGATAAAGATGACGATGCGCCAAACGATTCTACAAGCGATTCGGAAACCACAATCACCGACGATTCCGAGGATTTCGACCAAGAACAGGAGAAGAGGAACTAGGATCGAGATGTTATCAGTCCGGTCTCACTTCCTGTTGACGCAGGAATCGATTCTTTTGCTTCTGAATATGGAACCCGATGTAGCCTCTGGTCCTGGGTGTAATTTATCGATTGACGCAAAATAAATGAATGAAACTATTATACGAGTAATCATTAACCATGCTAAAATAAACTTTATATACGACGTAATATGGTAGGTGTAAAATTGGAGTTACTTGGCTCATGAAGACAAGCGATGCATATGGACATATGGTCTAAAACGACTAGTTCCCATGAGCCCTTAAGACGCGAACTAAAATGCTTTGATCGATGTTGGCATATGAAATGATTGATGGATCTCCACATGGAACGTTGTTCTTATACTATATTAATATATTGGATTAATTTGTTGTGATAGTATATATATGGTGATAATCAATCGTTTGTCAATATCACAAAAGTGACCATCCAAATTAACTACCTTTCAAGAATAGTTTCCAAAATGAATACACTAAAGTGCTGTTTGTTTTTTGTGTGAAGATCTGCGCAACCACTTTTGTCTGCGCCGCGCAGACAACGCGCAGACATATGCCCTCGCAGATTGTTTGTTTTTTGGAAGTGCGCAGATCAGAAAACGTCTGCGCGAGGTCTTCCTGGCGCAGACATGGACCACTGTCTTCAAAGGTCTTCAAACCTCATTTTAACCAAAACAAAAAAAAAAAAAAAAAAAAAAAAAAAAAATGGCAACTGTGCAGTTTTTTTTTTCTTTCATTTTTTTGTTAAAAATACATTTTTAATGTTTATAACATGAAATTAAGTTTAAAAATTCAATTTATTTTAACGGCCCGCAGACGTTAAAAACAAACAGTCTTCTTATTGCAGACTGCAGACATTTGGTCCACCTCTTCTGCCGCAGAGTCTTGCAGATGTGATCCGCAGACTGCAGACATTTTGACTTCAAAAAAACAAACAACACTTAAATGCTCATTTACGCTGAGAGGAGTGGAAAAAACAACGAGCCGACGAAGAGGATGTGACACCGTCCCTATTTCATAATTACAAGTTTTTGGCTCTCCTCTCATGTTTTTGCCGTTCGGCAAAGAGGAAGAAGAACGTATGGTTGAGGTGGAGCTCAATCCCCGAGCCACTACAAGAATAACCACCTGCACCGACGACAACCATGCAAAAGAAATATGTCGCCGGTAAAGGTCTACCTATCCCGTCCCCACCATATGTTGTCGGTACGACGAACTCTGTTTGGCTTGGAACTCTATGCCGACGACATATTGTCTAAATAGGCTAGACCGGAATGAAAACTTTTTTGGCGATTGTCTGAAAACTATGCCAACGATAAGTCGTCGATATAGGTAACGAAAATTGTAATTTTCAATTTCCTTATAATTCGCGTTTCAATAAATAAAACCGATGTTGTTTTCGTGTAACTTTGCCCAACAACAAGTCGTCGGTAAAGAAAATAGCGATCTGTGTGAACTCTGTACCGACGACATGTCGTCGGTATAGAATTTCTATTTTTTATTACTTTTTTAGTTGAGAGAAACGTCATATAACTTAATGCCTATACCGATGATATGTGGTCGGAGAAAAATGTGGATGAGAGTGTTTTAAATATGCACTGATGAATGGAAAAATTAAAGACAAAAAAGAAGCAATAAAAGACTTGAAAAATATGGGCATTCAGCCAAATCATTGGCTAAAAGAGATCGTCATCAAGAGGAAGAAAGTCAACAGAAGAAGAAAGACAACCATAAGAAGAAAGTAATACTACCACATGCTGATTAACCTTTCAAATCAATTGATCGACAATGTTTTTGTCAATTCATTAAAAGAGTGAGCCTGCCTAATGATTTTGGATCGAACTTTAATAAGAAGGTGAATGATCCTGCATAAAATTTGGTTGGACTAAAGTTTCACGATCATCAGATCTTCATGCAATGATTGCTGCCTATAGGGGTTCAAACATTTCTCCCAGAAAATGTTTCAACAACAATCATTAACTTGTGTATATTCTTTAAAAAAAATGTGTGTCCGGTCATTAGATGTTAAAGACATGAGAACTGCCAAAGCAGAAGTGTTGAAGATTTTATGCAATCTTGAGTTGATATATCCTCCAACATTTTTCGAGATCATGATTCATCTAATTCTTCATTTACCTGAAGAACCCTTTCTTGGAGGGCTTGTACACATGAGATGAATGTATCACTTTGAAAAATACATGACAAAAACTTAAAAATGATGTTAGAAACAAAGCCAAGCTAGAAGGCTCTATGTATCTTGAGGATATGCAAACCAATTATAATCGTGTTGATAGAAATGAGGATCTTGGACTTCCAAAAACTCATTGCGTTGGTTTGTACTAAACAACTGCGGTGAGGATGAGCTGAAAGGCTACATATAGTAAGTTTTGTGATCTATTAACTACTTTTTTGATAGTGTTATGATATCTTCAAACTATTCTAATTGTTTTGTCTCACATCCAATGAATTCAAATCAGAATCGTTTGAAAGTGATTTGAAAATAGAATTTCCTCCATGGTTCAAAAGAAAGGTAAATGCCTTATATTCTAATATATAATCTAAAACTAATTTATATTTTTACTTAAACGTATAATATTATATTTCCTTATAGATTTTGTCATCTCAAAAAAGAATCGCCTTCAGGCTGTACTAATGAATTAAAGGTGTTGGCATGGTGCGTTCGATGCAACTTCTTACATTGCTTGCATAGTAAATGATGTTCGATTTGTTTTGCTTAGTCGTAATCTCCAACACACTGCTTAACATAGTGATATTCTTACATTAGGAGTAGACGGTACACCATTCTATGGTCAACTAGAGGACATCATAGAGTTGCACTATTGACACGGTTACTCGGTTGTACTATTTTGTGGTAAATGGTTCAATGCGTTATTAAGTAATGGACGTTTAATTAGTAAAAATAATATGGTTGTTATCGATACCAGCCATGAATGGTATGTCGGTAAAACGTGATATGACGATCAACAATACATCTTAGCCACTCAAGCTAAACAAGTGTTTTATCTCCAAGATCCTACTCGAAACAATAACTGGAGAGTTATGGAATATGTTCATCATCGAAAACTTTGTGATCATCCAAGTATCGGTCTTAATGAGATAGATGTGGTAAATGACACTCGATCAAATGATTTTTCCTTGGTTTTCGACTTGGGTGATGATGATGATGATGATAATGATGATACGTACTCTGTTGACGGGGATAATATGTACTCTTTAGATACTAATGATGATGGTGAATCAAGTGTGGCTCCTACTATAAACGATGACAGTTTCATTAATGATGAAGATAACAATGATGATACGTACTCTTCAGATAATGATGATGATTTCATAAATGATGACGAATTCATTAATGATGATGTTGTACATGTATATTGCTCTAGTGATGATTCTGATTGATGGTATGTTACGGGTTTTATCCATTTTGATTGCTTAAAATTGTTTATTAGTTTTTCTAAAGTATGTTTAGTATATTTACTAATATTTGTTGAATAGATGGCTACACATGTTGTGAGTGGGCATGGAGGAGACGGCGGGGATCGACCTCCACATGAGGGCACATGCAAGATACCGCCATACCGGCGGGTTGTCAATCTTGTAAATTACATGAAATTCTTAAATATATTGGATATATCTTTAAAGTTTTAAATTTCTAAATTTTAAATTCTATGTATCAATGTAGCAAACCCAACACATCAGCGTGGAAAGGGAAGATGATTAAATATATGAAAAAATTTCAAGGGTGGTGGTAATAAAGCTCTACCTGTGGAAGTTGATAGCGGCGAGGGGACCTATAAATTCATAAGTGAAAATGCATGTCAAAATGTTGACAATGTTTATCTCAAATTATGTGGCATATCATGTACCATTCCTTTATAGGAGTTGGAGGCGTGTTCCTTTCCATTACTATGAAGCTATGTGTTAGGTGCATTTTGTGTACCTTTTTGCACACCTTTTAGTCCATTTTTTGCATCTATTTAGCATTTTGTTTTTCGTTTTTCTTGCATTTTCTTCAATTCATGTTATTCTCTAGAACAACCTTATTTGCACACTTTCATGTTATTTTCAGGTAAACCATAGGTTAGAACGCATTTTGGGAGGTGCCGGGAAGCATTGGTGAATATTTCGGGACGATCGGGTGAAGAACGAAAAAGTTGGAAAAATCAAGTTTGGATTTGAAGGTAGAGGTGTACATTGGTCGTGTTGGATTTACACTGAAAAATGGGCATGGTTCGTGTTTGACCAGAAAAGAAGACGTTGACTTTGTTGAACACGACACGTGTCAGTTTAGCCCATTTTGACACTGGTCGTGCTGGCCTAGCTGAGCAATTTTAAGATTTGTACTTTGGAAGAATAATCGAGGATTAAGTGCCATTTTACACTAAACATGACCCGTGTTGATTTACTATATCTTGACACGGGACATGTTCGACCCTAAAACCAACTTTTGGCAGTTTTTTTCTAATTTTCATATCACAGGAATTGGGTCATTTTTATACACGCACATCATATTAAAGCACTATTGGTGAGAGGATTTCGAAGGCTTTTGCAAGGATTTGATCATTTGTCAGTTGGAAACATTATTTCTATTATTTGTAAGGTTTAATTGCATACTATTTCCATCTTTTAACTTGTGATCCTGTCCTGGCCATGTGTGGCTAGAACCCTAGCTAGTTTCTCCAACTTCATGTTTTGACTTCTTGGTTGTGATTTCAATCATATGACTTGATGTTTTTCTTTTAATTCTATTTAGTGAATTTGATTTTTACTTTAATCAAATGTGTGATTCTAATTGTGATTTTTATTGGCCATTTGAATTAGGGTTAGGTCATTCAACTTATCTGATTGCAAAATCCGTAATTGTTTTGTGAATTGGACTAAGTAACAAGCACTAAACTAATTTCCATTGAATGAATTTAGTGTAAATCTTATTCACACATTCTTATACTCCCGAGCTTGTGAGGAG